CAGAGGTGTACATCATGATGTTATATAAAATTCAGTGAGTGATATGACTAAAAAGTGGTCATTAATGAATATTTACTCAATTCAAATGAGTAGCAGCTTTGACCTGGAAACAGTATTTTATGTCTCGATTTAACAAGAGGATAGATATCCTTCAAATGAACTTACTGACACTAACATATAAAAAAAAAACTGTTATTTTTATTTCACTGGTCCTTTAAAATGACTATTACAGAAGTCGTCAAATGGACCTTTAGCAAAATGCCTTTGTTTTATTGTCCTAACAAACATTTTCAACAATGCTTGTATTTGTCAAACCGAGCCATTCAGCCTTGTAATTACAAATTGTAATATTGCAGCTATTTCATGGAAAGTTTGAGGATGATTGCAAGCTAGCAAAGCTAGAAAAACAAAGTATGGACATCTTTTTACATACAGCTTTCTACTTTAAATCTTGTCACACAGAGATCTCTATACGTATTTACTATTTCTTAAATGCAATTTAAATTTGCTGTTACTTTACTAACCCTCAGGCTAGAGGTGCTCATCCCTCTTCCTGGAGATGTACTTTCCTGCAGAGTTCAGCTGTAGCCTTGATCAATCACACCTGTCTTTAATTACCAAGTGCTCTTTCAGACCCTGCTTGGATGGTTTAGTTGTGTTTGATCAGGTTTGGAGCTAAACTCTGCAGGAAGGTACATCTCCAGAGCACCCCTGCCTCGGGCTATCCAAGGATGATGTAACCAATATAAAAGGTAAGATTAGATTTGAGTGTGTGATCTTGATGTGTAAGATTTACTTTTGACAGATTTCTAATGTTTACCAGGTCAGTATGCGACATGATGCTCACACTTCATACTGCTGTGAATATGCATTTGCTGAGGCTGTAAATGGAAGGTAATGTACTTGCACTGGCATTTAGCTTCATAAGAACTCGATGGTTGGAGTTTCAGGCATTATTTTTGTAGTACATTTGTTAGATAGTAAATGCTGTTGATTTGCTTTTTTTATACATTACATAAATCATTGCGATAACTGTAATTACATATTTTTCTGTGTAGTAAAAGGTTTGGAAAAATTCATAAATAAATGGAGGAAAGTTTAAAATCTTTCAGTTTTATACTTTACAGTTCTGTACACTTAGTAGTGTTTGCAGTTTGGATATGGTTGCAATGACTGTAAAATGTCAGCATACACTGTAAAAAAAACTATTTTTTCAAAAAGTGAGTAACCTCGCTGCCTCCAAACTATTAAGTAAATGAATTTCATGCATAATTATAAATAATAAGTTAAGTGAACTATAAGTTAAAATGAGCTATAAGTTAAAACCGAAATGCTTACTTTTTATTAAGAAAAATAAACTTGTCATTTTTAAGACAATGGGTTTACTCACTTTTTTTTATTAATAGCTTTTTTACAATGTACATAAGTATATACAGTCATGTGAAATAGGACTATTGGTGTAACCAACTGGCACACAGTGCACAAACTGCGATGGGGCCCTGCAGAGGTCCTCACTCCCCCCTAAAAAAAAAAATAATAATATATATATATATATATAAAAGTTTGTTTTGTTCTTTTTCTTGAACGACAGCTGATTCTCATTAACTTAAGAGATTGTTCAGTTTGATTTTTTTGGGGGGAACAACGTAATAATTTTATGATCAATCCACTTGAATTTGTAAAAACTAGTAATTTATGTTGTTTCAACACAAATCGACTGTGTGGAACCCGGCCTTTTTTAGTGTACATGAAACATGTTTCACTTAAATTTATACATTAAAAAAAACTAAATTTAAAATAAAAACTGTGACAGACTACACCTCAAAGCACACCCTAAAGGCAAAACTGACATTTTTGTACATTAGTTTAAATATTACTTGTTTGATTATTGTTTGAAAACATTCTTTATTGTAGACATCAGATTGTGATAAATGAGATGGCAGGAGTCCGGAAGAAGGGGAATGGGTCAGACATAATTTTTAACCAGAAAAATGAAATTTGGTATAATTTGTATCTTAATTTTTCATTTTTTGTTCAGTTATTTACAAAATAAACAAGACGTTTTCGCTATTTCACTGTCTGTGAAATTCCAAGTTATTCCATATCAGGGCGTAAAAAGTGATCTGATCTTTGGCAGGTTTTAAAACTTGGAAAATAAAACCTCAGATGAACAACAACAAAAGATATTAACAAAAATAAATCAGACACCGTTATTCTTAGTCAAACACCTGAACTGATCATCAGCAGACATCTTAGCACTTTGTTTGACTCCAATGCCCATCTGACAGCTAAAGCTGGGTTTATGCAACAGGACAACCATCCTAAGCACACCAGCAAATCTACTGTACAGCAGAAGTGCTGAAAAGAAAAAAAAATAACTAAATATATAAATAAATAAATCAGTGTTGCAATAGTACAGAGCTCATTCTGACTAAAATGCTGTGGCATAAGCTGTGCAAAAAATTCTCCAAAACTCCTGCAGAATGAGCGGAGAGACTAAGATCAAAACATGATTACTTTAATATAAGTGATGACATGTTGTGAGATTTATAGAGACTTTCATATTTAAAACCTGCCAAAGACCATACAGTTGTCTTTTTCGTATAGTTTCCTGATACGAAAAACCACAAAAATCAATAGGATATAATAACTGTCTCACATGACCATGCACCTAAATTCCTACAGACTAAACTGCTTGTATTCTATAGATGTTCAGTGCTGTTACTGCATGTTTGGTGTTGTTGTGGGTTGTTCGTGCTGAAGGACAGTGTAGATGTGTGTGCTGACCCAGATCATGCACATAGATGGCACTGCAGTGGCTGTGCTCCAAATAAATGAGGGTTACTTCACTCCCTCAGTTCCTCATTACCCCCTCAGCTTGAGCTGATCGACGGCCCACAAGTATGTTCCTTCTGAAATACAAGCACGAACTTCCAAACAATATAGTACTGATGGTTAAAAAACTGTATGTAGATAGATAGACAGACAGACAGACAGACAGACAGTCTATAAAACAGACATACCGACAGACAGATACTTATAAACATCACATCCAATAGATATTTAAGAGAGCACTAAAATGCTATAAAAGAATAGTTAAGTATAATATATAAACACCTTACATATGACAGATGCTTTTTTAAAAAAAAAAAATAAAAAAATAAATTGTATCATCGTTTGACTTCTGTAGTATTAGTTTTTTCCTACTATGGAATTCTGGTTACAGGTTTTAACCATTCTTCAAAATATATTAATTTTTGTTCAAAAAAAAAAAAAAGAGGAACAGTTTTGAAACCACTTCAGGGTGAGTAAATGTTAATTTTTTTGAATGATTTTTCTATACATTTTGCAAACCAAATAGATTGTATGTAACCCAGCATTTTTTTCAGTGTATGTAAACACCATTATTGTATACAGTAGTCAACGTTTGTAGGGGCCACTTTTTTATTCAAATACCAGAATGACCAGAAAGACTAGAGTTGTTTAATAGATTTAACACCCTATGTTTTGATAAAAGGTTTTGATTTAAATGTTGGCTACTGTGTATAAACATAATAAATGCTTCAGATTCTTCAGTATTATATGCTAATGATAGACACAGACACCTCGGAGAGATACCTTCTTATTAGTACATATAAATATCAGTATACTGTAGGTCTGTTATTAAACCTTTAAATAGTAAATACTTTAGTATATGCAGTATAAATCCCTCAAAAGCTGTAGACCAGGGGTCTCAAACTCAAATTGGCAGCGGGCCATTGGAGTGACTGACTTAATTTTCCATCTTAGGACAACAGACAGATTGATATATTTCAATGTTTATATCAGCCCCAGAAATAATCTGGTTTTGTGTTACTATCGACATTGTGCGCTGTGACAAACCAAAAGTAAAACTTATTTAACTAAGACAGATGTAAACTGCTGTAGACAGGTAATCGCTTCAACTTATTTAAAATGATAAATAACTGAATAGATGGATCCTATGTTTATATAAATGCCTTCAGTCTGTGTATTTACTATAAAAAGTTTATTTGTATAACAGATGTTTAGTCATTTTTAGATCTGTGTAATTGTTAGATGTGTGTAATGTTTAGATATCATGTTTCAACAGAGCAAAAGTGCAAAAAAAAAAAATCATAGAAATGACTAAACTGGAGCTTTTATATTTAAATATATAACAACAAGTGCAATGTTTGTCACTTATTGACAGATCTGACACACAAACATTTCTCTGTACATCCGGATCTGGCAGCTTTATTATTCTTTTTTTTTTTTCCAGGAAATCACAAATAAAATCCACAATGTCCACCCATTTGATAGAAATGCTTTGCCCCGTTTTGTAATGCAGGTCGTCGATTGGTCAAAAGTCTCCTGGGGTCATTTGGGGTTAAAGCATTTACGTTTCACTCACCTTTTTTATCATCACAGTACAATCGAGAATAAAAAAGCAACACAACTGCAGATGTCAAGAGCTCATGGGATGGAGACGCAGAAAAAAAGCTGTCATCAGTCACTGGAGAGAATCCACAGACCCTTGTGCTCATTTTGATTGGCTGAGACAAATGGTGAATTGGGAGATGGGTAAAGCTGCTCGAATTCACATGAACATGGAAGTGCTTTGTGTAAAAGTTTTTTTTGTGCTTCTTTTGCAGTAAGCAGCTTGATGCGCTATTTCAGACTTCCATATTCACAGGTGAAGTATACAAGAACTGCTCATTGGACTCTTCAAATCTCTGCTGTTTTCTCCAGCCTGTGGTATGTACTGTACATCTGAACAACACAGACACGTTACAAAAATAAAGACCTTCGCTGAAGCCCACCAAAGAGCTCTCATCATAGGCGTTTTACATCAGCTTTCTTTCCCTCGCCACTTGTTCCTGTGCAAACATCAAAAACACATTTCTATCCGGGTGAATATACAGCACACTTACGGCTTATGGCATCCATTAGAAAGAGCTTGGAAAAAATAGATATTAAATATGGATGATGATTTCATTTCGTTTTTTTTTTTTTTTTTGTCATAGAATTGTAGTGTTGGCGTGACTTCAGCCATTTCAGTCATTCATTATGAATAGACGAGTTCATCTTAAGCCCCGTTCAGACTGCATAATTTTTATTGCCACTCATTGTGTCAGATTATATTTTTGGTTTTCTAGAGTTTCACGACTTGTTATGGATATCAAATATGTCAGACTACACATTTTTGCAATCAATCATCATGTGACCTCTGTCATCAAGAAATAGCGTTGTCATGATACTGAAATTTTTAAATCATCCATTTGCTCTTCTATTGGAAGTTTTCTATTGGAAACAGATCAAGACTGCGGACAGGCCAGTCAAGTACTTGTATTTACTTACTTCGCAGCCAGGACTTTGTAATGTGTGCAGAATGTGGTTTTGCATTTTTTATTGCCGCTCACCATGTTGGATTGTATGATTTTTTTTTTTTCTAGATAAACTTGACTTGTTATGAGCATCAAACATGTCAGACTACACATTGCTTTACGATTAATCATCATGTGAAGTCTGTCATCAAGAAACTAATGTTGTGACGATAGTGGAATTCGATATCAATTTCCAAATACACTGGTCCCTGAAGTGTTTTAAAGCTGTGAGGATCAGTCGATTCATCAGCGGATTGCTTGTATGTCAGCTTATAAACAGAGCAGCTGATCTTTGCGGCTTTAAAACAATTCAGTGTCCCTGTATCTGTGGTTACACTCAGTAAACAGCTGTGAGTTTGGTGGACTGATAACCTTCATGGCCAATCACAGTTATTTCTGTTAAGCATGTAAACACAGGCAATTTAGTGCTGTTTAAGAACGCGCTCAAATGTTAGTAGGAAATGGACATTTTTAAAATTGCAGGACCGACTGGTATGGAATACCAGTTTCGTGACATCAAGAAACCCCATGATTTTTAGATGTGGTTGTAAGGATGCATTTACACTGCATGGTTTAAGTGACTCAATTCTGATTTTTCCTCATGTGGCACAGATCAGATATGGCACATGTGCAAGCAGGAAAAATCCACATGGATTCTGATTTACTTAAATCAGATTCAGGCTTTGTTCATATGTAGAAATTTATCCAATATGAAATGGATCTGTGTCCTTGTGTCTACAGTGTAAGCAGGTAGATCAGGTTATCACCTGTAAATGTGAGTCACGCATCATTAAAAATACATTGCAAATGATGTCAACTCTGCGATTTCGTTTCAGAACAAACTTCAATAATCCTTAAATCTCATACACGATGACTAAAAAAGCGTTTATATTGTCATGTAGCACAAGTATTTAAGCATGTTAATGAGAGAGAATGCAACATCCACCATGTAAACGAATATAAAATTGTTGCATATGTTACGTCCATAAATCACGCCATGGACATGTCATTGAGATGCCTACTGGTTTACATAGGCCTAGACCAGGGGTCGGCAACCCAAAATGTTGAAAGAGCCATATTGGACCAAAAAAAACAAAAACAAATATGTCTGGAGCCGCAAAAAATTAAAGGCTTTATATTAGCCTTATAATGATGGCAACACATGCTGTATGTATTTATATTAGCTATATTAGCCTACTATAAAAATGACTTTGCTGGCTACAAATACATACTGAGCCTTCATGATTAAATGTTCATTTCCCTGCAGTGCATCCTGTAGAGAATGACGCGCCACGTGACTACTCTGTTGTACGATGCCGTCTCAAGTTTAACTTTATTACAGTATATTAATGAATTATGTTTAATGTTCAAGTTTAACTTCATTACAATATTAATGAATTGTTTAATGATCAAGTTTAACTTCATTATAATATTAATGCATTGTTTAATTATCAAGATTAACTTCATTACAATATTAATGCATTATGCTTAATTAACAAGTTTAACTTCATTACAATATTAATGAATTATGTTTAATGATCAAGTTTAACTTCATTACAATATTATTGCATTATGTTTTGCTTTGATGAAATTAAAGAAATGCAATAAAGAAATCAGATTTTTTTATGTTTTTTTTTTTTATTTTCAGGATTCCAAAAAACAACATCAAAATTAACGTGCAACGTGCCCCTTATCTGGGCAACAAACAGTGCAATAAAACGCAGTCTGCCATTTCCATTTCAAGATCAGCTCGAGTCATTCCTGGGAATGTGCTCAACCAACACAATCTCATGGCAATTCGTAACTTTTTCATTTAGTGGCTAATTCGTATGAATTCGTACGATCTAATTCGTACAATTTAGTACGATTTGCTTTTCCCCCAATGACGGTTGGGGTTAGGGGTTTGCATATCAACGATCGCACCTTGTAAATAATTACCGTTGAGTGAGTGATCGGGATGGGCTTCTTAGAATTCTCTCAGGGAGGGAAAATGAGAAAGCGTGCCCCGCTGTACATCTTTGGCAAAGACAGCTTGCGCTCCATGGCGCACCAAACAGCCGCCGGTTTGTTTACAACAGCTACCTGCCTGGCATCCCGCCCTGCTGATAGAAACGTGTGTCGCAGGCTATGACGCAAATCTTCGTTGACAGAAATGTTGAAATTAAATATTCTACACATTGGAAATCTTAGCATTGGAAAACGTTAAGATTGTGTGTCCTCCTATAGAAACCGTATTAAAACAAAAAATATATTTTCCTCCCTCATCGTTTTCCATTTTCAAACATTTTTTGAAAAAGTTCCAGGGAGCCACTAGGGCAGCGCTAAAGAGCCGCGGGTTGCCGACCCCTGGCCTAGACTAAAAGATGATGGCCAAATGACAACTTTTCTGTTATAAACTATAGTAAAACAACTTGTCAAAAAGAAAAAAAAACCCTGTGAATATATTAAAGACAGGGAATAGAGAAAACAGCGCTCTCTTATTATCAGATGTCAGTCAGCACACACTGTTTTTTCTTGTCATTGCGCCTTTTGCCTTGTGCTGTGTAAATGCAGAAAATTGGATACGAGTCACTTTTAAAAGATGTAAGCAGGTCATCAAAAAAATCAGATACAGTGACAAAACTGACCATCAAGATCTGCAGTGTACAGTAAACACAGCCTAATTGTCAGATTTGTTTGTTAACATGATAATTCCAGAAATGCATCTGCTACCCATCGCCAACATTGATGTTTTTATTCTGTCATGGTAGTTCCAAGCATACCTTTCCATAACACATTTCATGGAAGCAGCACAGTCCTCTCGCTTTCATTTTGTCATTTTAAAACCTGTGTTTGAAAAAATTCTGTGCTTCTATTGGTCACCCATGTAACAGAACTCATCATAGATAAAAACCGACACATGCTATACTTTCTGCTATGACGTCTTAAATTGTTTCGGACATCGGCTGTCCTGCACTATGGCACTATATGAGAAGAAGCAATTGAATCTTGCTTCCCATTTGTCGTTTACGAATCTCCATGACAACACCCTTTGTCAAGCAAATTGTGGCGAAATCATGTAATCTGAACGGGGCTTTACATACGCACCATCTTCAGTCCAAAACATTAGAGAGAGACACAATTATTCAAACCCTTGAAATCAGTCATTGTGAACACAAACGATGAAATCACTAAATTGGACTGGAGGAATGGAGCAGGGTTGCACATGTTTAGAGAGTTTGGCAGTTTTTGTGTCCTCGTTAAATGATGTGGAGGTTAAACTGATGAACACACACACTCTCTCTGTCCCAGTTCTGCTCTGCTTTGACTGATTGCTTTATTTTAAAGCTGGAGCGTGAGTGGCAGGAAGGGGAGGAGCCACATGAGTTCATCCAGGTGGGCTGTGGTGGGACTGGAATCGTACAGATCAGGAGACGGCAGCGTAGAGTCACCCCACAGTCTGTCTCGCTCGTTCATCTAAATGACAAACACAACAAATAAGAGCTTTAGATGTATTGCATCTTAATAGTTTATTACTCCATATTGAGCATTTAATAATGTTGCCTATAAAAGCCTGGCCTCTGCTATGGAATACAAAGAATAAATCAGTTTATATATAATCGGGGTGTGAACCTCCACTGGTCTCATGGTTCGGTTCCATTACAATTATCATGACATTGATTTAGTTCAATTCGTTATCTTGGTGCATTGACGATGCTCTCCATAAACAATTTGATGATTTACTTAGCAACACTAACTGTTGTTTTAAAAATTATAAATATATTTATATAATATTTGCAATACAATTTTGTCCTTTAATACGAGCAGATACTGTATATGTACTGTACCTTTAATTTGTCCTGCTCAAAGAAAACACTCTTTTTGAATGTATCGAGCAAACTGAAGTACATACACAGAATAACATGAGCATTTAGAGCAAGTAAACTAATGTAAATACTATCGCTTGCTTTTTCTAACATTGAGCAAGTTCTTAAACGCCAATGATTGATCATGCCCTCAACAGAACAGGCTGAGATTGGAACAGCACGGCTCTGGTGCTGTTCAGCAAACAGTGACACGGACACTGTTGTTAAATGTCCGCGGTTCCATGGTAAAGAAAACTCGCATGCGGACATGTTCATGTGTCTGAATCCACATGTAACGTTTTTGTTACGGCCAAGAGAGGAGATAAAACATTACCTCACCAACATGCCAGCAGGCCAAAGCTACCGGTTATGATTATTACTGATACCGAATTGTTTGCATCTGCATTGCGGTGCATTGAAGAAAAAATGTAATTTTGACACCTCTAATATATAATTAATATATAATCATCAATTCTGACTCTCGTGCGAGTTATAAAAAACGTTCTGGAATTTCTGACATTTTCGATTAATACAATTTGTTTTTTCTTAATTTAATCTATAAAATTATGAGTTCTCGTCTATCCAAATTCAAAGACTTTTTTTTAGAAAAAAGGTAATAAATTGGCTTTATTAAAAGTGAAGTCAGAATTGCAAGATATAAACTTAAAATTGAGAGAAATTTACAATTACATTTGTTGATATTATGTGACTATCTGACATGATTCCCTCTCATTTCCAAATGTGGTTATGTCTTTTACAGATATCACCAACAATCACAGATAGTTATACTATATCATCAAGGTAAACACAAACATTAAATCTAATTCTTTTTTTTTAAAGTTAATAAAGTATTAATTTCATTTAGAAAAAAATCTTATTTACAACATATTTCATCTTCAAAACCATGAACAAAATGATGTAAGAATAAAGAATGTACACTTGGTTATATATAAAGGTTTTGTTGAGTAAATAATCAAAATTCTGTTCTGAATGATAAACAATTTTGCCATCATATTATCCAAAATCTATTTTAAAGTCCTGATTGAAATCAGTTGAAAAAAAAACCCTACTGCATTACAACAAACAAACTAACAGCTTTAAAACAATCTGCATTAAATGAGTTTGCTGTTCTCAGGATACAAATCCCAAAAGCCCTTTAAAAAGCACAAAACCAGACCAGTGTGGCAAGCTTGGCCAGTCAGGGAAATCATGTAGGCTAGTTTTATGCTGTTTCTCTCGGAAGGCAGACAAACACGCATTCGTGGCTTTGTTCGGACGACATGAAAGGCATATCTGACTCAAATCCATTTAGAAAAAAAAACCAAAATCCAATTTTCACAAACCCCATCCATATGTATGTTGAAATTAGATTAAAATAGCGTATATATGTATGTATTTTCAAAATATGTTCCAGTCTGGATGGTCCGAATGGATTTTGAGTCAATTTTGGATGTGATGTATACAGCATATGCACTGTCATACACGATGCAAATCTGTGTTCACACTCAACAGAGCTCTAAAGGCGAGCATACACTGTGTGATTTTTGTGGCTGTATGTGATTATTTTCTCATCTGGAGAAGCTGCATGGTAAATGTTGATGCTAGCACTGTATGGTTGTGGTTCATACCGTGTAAGCAGAACTTTTTTTTCAATTCACTTATGAGCCAAGGCGATCTGCTCACAAGCTCCCGATTATTTTTGAAAGTTTGGGAGCTGTCGGCTTGAAATTGTTGATCCAACCTGTCAATCTATCTGGTTGGCCAATCATGAGGATAAACCTGCTCAACAGCAAATGTGCTATGATATGTCATGCATGACAGTTGTCAGAGAGGATTGTTTAGTGGATATATTTCACTTTATAATTCCCACAGGGTGAACCAGGAATACTTCATGGATATTACTGCGTCCAAATTATTTTCATATAAACTTAGTCGTGACCTGTACTAGGACATACAGTCTTTCCATAGATATTTACACTAGATGTCACCGATGCTATTGCTGTTTGTTGGAAGGAACGTGTCAATAGAGCCACCATTTTGGTACAGGGTAGCACTTTTTTTAAATAAATGTGGCACCAAGGTGTACTGGGGACTGGCCATCTGGAGCCATAGATATGTGAATTGTTTTGCTGGTTTTCTTTAACAAAAGCCTAGTATTTAGTGGAAGTTGGTGCTACTTTGCCCAATGTTGAATGCAGTAAGTGCCTGTATTTTCTTCAATAACATTACTTGTTGAGAATACAAATTCATAACATACAAAATCTTTAAAAAAAAAAGCTAAGTCTTACCTATGAAATGTTAACATTGCCTTTTTGTTTTCTTTGTTTGCTCAGTACTACAACCGTACACAGCGCTAAAGTCCAGCATATTCAGATTGGATTTGGTCTTGACTAAGTGCAGTTGAATAAAAAAAAAAACCACTAGGTGTCACTGTAGAGACTGGTTTCAGAACGGTTCGAAGCTTCGACTATTTCAGTGTTTCGTAAAGGCTTGCTTTGCTCACCACTAAGTGATGCATTCTCAGGGCCTGTATGTGATATCTAACGTACAGTATGTGCAAACTTCCAACCATCAGAATTTGCAGTGTACAACCAACTTAAAGAGGATGAATTTGTTCATTAAGGGGTATTGAGTTTGTGACAATAGTGTATTAAAAATGGACAACAACGTTATCAAAATAATTCACTCAGCGCCACAAAAATTACTTAAAGGCGCTGTATTATGCATCATCAGTAGGTGGCAATGTCACTTTGTAAAGAAACACTGCATACCTACAGTCCTGTATTTAAGCCTGTCACAACCAATATATTGACTTATGCAATACTTGGAAATGATCTCAATCATTTTTGCCGTTGCAATATATTTTTACAAATTCACAAAAAATGAATAAATAACATTAAAGCCACTTTACATTGACATTTAGTAATAATAATAAAACTTCCTTACATTTATCTAGCACTTTTCTGGGCATTCAAAGCACTTCAACAATGGGGAATCATCGACGAATCTCCTCATCCACCACCAGTATGGTCCACTACCAGTATTTACATTTTACCTAACCGCTGTCAGTTTATAATTGGACATTTATTTAATAGTACATTTTAATTATATTAAGACATGTACCTTTTTAAAATCAAATTATAGAATCTAAATAACCTTAAGCATTTTAATTTGTTTATGGCTGAAATCATTACATAATCAGTGGCATAAAATAATGACAATGATCATTAATAATCACAACAATTTCTGTGACAATATATCGCAATACATCGTGACAGGCCTACCTGTATATGGTGATTTTTATTTTTATGCGGGATGATGAAGAGATGTTGTCACTGCTATTAAGACTATGTAAATACTAATGTACAGTACTTTGGCAGACTATTATATTGTGCCGTTGGATGGTATCATGCTTTAAATTGGCACTAGGGCATAATATATATTAAGGCATAATAACTGGCACCAAATAATTTTGACCCCTTCTTTGCCATTATTAAAGGGATAGTTCATTCAAAAATAAAAATGTTAATAATTACTCACACTTGTTCCACTCCTCTGAGACCTCAAAACAATACCCAACCCTAGTAAACGCCACCTCTCGCTGGCACTTATGTCAGCATGAAAGCTTGTACCTGTGTGGGCATCTGTGGACGCAGAAGGTTCTGCTCAGTCTCTGTGGCAGCACCATTGGTAGTAGTAGTGGGCTCAGTGCTGGTAACTGGTAGGATGTGGTTGTAAGTGTTGGTATTAGAACCCGGAGCCTGGTTGGTTGCAGATTTCAGGTCTGTGTCATTCCCGAAAGCCGAAATGGCATTCTCTGTTTGAAAGAAGCAGAGAGAGAGAGAGAGAGACACTCACTCACAGCCATGCCTTCTGCAGATGAACATGTCTGGAACGCAGTCATGCCTCAGTTAGCTTTCTCTTTCAGATATGTCTCTTTTTCAAAATGCCTTTGGATTACGTCAACATGCTTTCCTACAATAATAACAACAACAAAACGCACTCAGAGGAGCCAGAGAAGACTGGCTCATGTATATTTATATCAGTTCTCCAGCGTAAATGTTGACAGCATTCAAAACCCCAAACTCAATGCTCTAAATATAGCCTGTTTCTATACATCCCTATATTACCAATCAGCTAATCCTGCCCTGCAGTAATATCTATAAAAAATGCTCATATTTCCTAACAGCTTGGCGTTTGTCCTTATTTCTTTTCCCATGTCTTCCATTTTCTTCCTCATCTTTTTTTTTTCTTTTCTCACTCAGTGTGTTTTCCCTTGGGTAAGATTGGTTGCATAAAATGGAGTGTGGACTCGAGTGAGCCTCTGTGCCGGTGGCTTTGAAAGAAGTTTGATTACCTCTGGTATCTTGACGTTTAAGCCAAATCGTACCCATAGTACAACACCTGTGTCTATTCATTTGGAAATATCCTCTACTGTCAGCCATGTACTGGCAGAATGGACTTCCATATTAAATCTAAACACAGATTTCAAATCACACTCCTCTTCGTTTTCTTTCTTTTATTGGCTCTATATGAGTACATTTGAGACTTAGTGACAGGCCATATGAATGATAATAATGTGAATTGATTAATTTCCATTGGTCTAGTAGGTCACTTGTCTGAAATTGCCACGGCGTGAAAGTCACCCCAATTAAGACACAGCGGTGAGGATAGTATTGCATATGACTGAGGCTGATCTTCATTTCTAGCGCTGAGAAACGTGTTCTGTTCTGTTGGGGGAAAAAATGAAAGATTAGATTTATGAATGGTGAATGGCTGTGTGGTTGAGTGATTTTTCTTTCTTAATTGAAACACTAATTGCTTAATCTTTCTGATCTTACAGAGGTTTGAGGCACAAGAGAGAGAAAGAGAGTGGAATCCTGATACCTTACTTTATGTATTGTGCCTACAGTGTCATTTTAAATCATTTCACAACCTGCTATATTATATACACACACTAACATACATGCATACACACATATACATATACACATATATATATGTGTGTGTGTGTGTGTGTGTGTGTGTGTGTGTGTGTGTGTGTGTGTGTGTGTGTGTGTGTGTGTGTGTGTGTGTGTGTGTAATGCTGCTCAGCATGATGGCTGTGTTTCATTTATTTTTTGCATGATTTAGAAAAACTATTATAATTTAATTTTAAATTGCATGTATATATTTTCTGTTAAATCGTGTTGTTGTTGTTGTCATTTAAATTAATTTGCTTATTTTTTTTTAATTAAGTTTAACGAAAGTTTAACAAAATCATTTTTAACTTTGAAGAAAATATTTAATAATACTATTAATAAAGGTTTTGTTTTGAAATTTACTTTCAAAAGTAAAGAAAACTGAGGCTCAAAGATAACATAAAAAGGCATTACAATGTGTAATGAAAATTATGTATGCATGTATGTTTGTAAAAATTTTCTGATTATTTGTATTTTAAGTGTAATAATGGCAAAAATAAAAGTAAAAAAAAACATTTAATGATATCAATAATATAGGTTTTGTTTTGAAATATACATTTAAATATATATTAAAAAACAAAGCAAAACGGCATTATGTATTTATGCATGCATGTATATAAAATATGCCCCGGATTATTTGTAATGAGAGATAATATTTAATAATATCAATGATGATAAAATCGCAAAGGCATTAAAATGTGTAATATAGCTTTCTGTTTACATATTATGAATTTTTTATGCATGTATGTATATAAAGTTCTGAGTGATTGTATTTTAATTGTAATAATAGCAAAAATAATAAAAAAATAATACCAATAATAAATAGATTTGTTTTAAAATGTACTTTCAAAAATATAAAAATATAGGCTCAACAATGATAAAAACACACAAAGGCATTAAAACTGTGTAATATAGCTTTCAGTTTTTTATTAATATGTATTTTTATGTATGCATGTATAAAAATATGTCCTGATTAATTTCATTGTAATTAATGGCAAATAGGTCAAAGATAATGACTATTGTTCACTATGAGTATGCATTTTATTAAAACATAATTTTGTTGTAATTTGCTGAAGACATAATGGGACATGTCATATTTCACCCATAAATGGTTTATTTTACACAATTGAACCCCTGGAGAGAATTTTTTTTGCCTTTTTTCTTAAAATAAGACGAGTCACATGAGAGGAAACAGGACTGCAATCAAACCGTGATTGGCTCATTACACTAAGAATGCAATATATATTCCGTCAATCATGTTCATAACGCTTCTGTTGCTAAATATACATCAAACTGAAAAAAAATAATAATAAATTAAATAAAACTGGCATAAACTCACCCACTCAGATAACACTGTTAGCTACAACCGAATCAAAATGAGCTCCAAAATGATTTGAGATGCTGATCTGTGAATGAGTGTTTCACAATCACTTGGCGCTGTTAAATAAAAGTTGCAGCACTGTGTAAATAAGTCATAACATCTGTAGTGTTTACCAATGATTTTTTTTCCACTAATGATCTGAAAAGTTGACTACAGTATGCTGAAACCTTGATGCAAGTTGTTTTTAATCAATAGTTTCTAGTTGTTTTTGTTGTATATCTCACGTAAAAGAAAGAAACCTGGAAACTTCTTAAACATCAGTGGAAATAGTACCCGAGTTTGCTTTTATTTCTGAAGTCCAGCACACACCTCTGCTCTTTACCGTACATACAAAACACTGCTTAACTACGTCCTTCAGGGATTTTGAAAGGTAAGGTTATAGACAAGCGGTAATTCTAAGTTTACACTTAGGAATATAATTTCTGTCAGTTAGCCTTCACCCCAGTCCACCTAAAGCCCTCATTATCCGACATCCGTATCATAACAGTCATAGCACATCATAATCATGGGAGTGTTAGCAGTGGAGTAATGTGGAGGAGTGTGAATGGTGTGAAGTTGATTAGTCTCTGAATGTTTAGCAAGATGCCATGGGTTGATGCTAATTGAAGCTGCCCACTCGTAGCGGAGCTGAATTACTGCAGGGAAACAAACCAACGTCGGGGCTACTTTCATGCAGCAGCAGAACACGCAAAGATAAATAAAGTCCTGTTCATACAGCTTTCATGACAGCTGCGTTCAGTATACATTCAATTAAAAGCACAATTCAATTTAGAGATTGGGTTTGACTTCATAATGTCCTACTTCTCGCAGAAGTTATGCAAATTGCTGTCATTATCAAAACAATAGTTCTCTTTCATTAGCGTCAATGTAAAGCGATTTCAAATTTTAAACGTGATTTTGCAAAGCTTGTCAGTGAAGTAGATGCAGCGCCAACTGAAAGCATATGCTGGAGGTTTAGAATGACAATATGTGCATGAAAATGAATTGTCCAGTACTAGTGCATACACATGCCAGAGTTCACAACTAACTGCAGTCTGGTAGGCATTTAATATAGCAATGCTGTTTAGGATTCCAGCATCTAAATGGTCACATTTTGTAAACTTTCTGACTTCATTGACTAGAGTGGTCACATTTCCTGTCAGTGTAACATAATTTTGTTTGAGGCTGCAATAGTGCCACTACCAATGTCATTGATAACTGATATGCATTGCCATTTCTATTCTGTATGTGAAATATTAAATGGCAAAGTGGAACAAACCAGCAGTACTCAAATTAACTTACAAGCCACATACACCATTTGTCAGATCAGCCCAGAAAACAGCGCGAGAGCTTAGAGAAAATGTTTTTTTTTTCTTTTTTTTTTCTTGAGGACCAATTTAAACCATAGCCGCATTTCCACTATCGGGCCAGTGTGAGCCAGGGCTTTTATCGGGCCGGGCCAATTGCCCGGGAGGTTGAGTAATGAGGCCAAAACCAGGTCACATTTCCTCTGTCGGGCTAGTAGCTCGCAGCGCATCACGCAAACCCCGCCCCCAGAACGTCCCCTGAATCAAACGTCACACAACCTGCCCACTTCAGCGGGAACCAGGCAGATAAAACACACCATGGAAGCATCACAAATCGAAACCATTAAAATGAAGACAACCGAAACAAACAAATGACACGTTACTGTAAAGCAGCAATTATATATCTATACGCACAGACCTGTGTATTTCCATTCATTACATTTGTTTACTTACCGACCGACTGTTGGCATTGTGCATCGAGTGCTCTCGCCACTAACGGAGGGATCCAGCACAGTGAGCGCACCATCCATAATATAAAGCCACAGAAATTCTCTGTTATAACTCAGTATAAAAGTTATTTTACAACGTCCTTGTTTTGATAGATATCGTGTTAAGGGTTTCAGCACATAAGAGCAAGTAGCCTAATAAAATATAGCCATATTTGTTGCGCTCAGCAGCTATTCAATAAAGCTCTACATTTAAAGTTTCATTTATAAATCTGACAACGTCATATAAAAACATAAACACTTGTTTGAGGATATAGAACACATTTTGTGTTTGGAGTTTTCCCTAATGCATTTAAAGCGGTGCTGCGCAGGACTGGGTGACAGAAAAAAAAAGTAGGCTAGATTCTGCTTTCACTTACCCAAAAAACGCTGTTTGCACGATTTGATTAATATCATCATATCCAAATACTTTATACATAATATTTCAAACCTTCTCTGGTGTTTATTAATTTTAGAAATATCTAATCTTTTTTTCAGATAGGTCTTTGTAAAATGAAAGTTATATGTGGCTTTAAAACGGTTTGATTTATGTATTGTATATGCTACTACCTACATTGTTCTAGCTAGCTTATGTTAATTTTATATTGGTTTATTTATTTAATGCGATTTTATTATATACGATATTTGTAATTCTTTAAATTATATTTCAATATAGCTTAGGCTATTTTATTAAGATATGACAC